GTGGACGTGGACGTGGACGTGGACGTGGACGTGGACGTGGACGTGGACGTGGACGGGACGTGGACGTGGACATGGACGTGGACGTGGACGTGGACGTGGACGTGGACGCATGGACGTGGACTTGGACGTGGACGTAGACGTGGACATGGACGTGGACATGGACGTGGACGTGGACGTGGACTTGGACGTGGACGTGGACGTGGACGTGGACATGCTCGTGGACGTGGACGTGGACGTGGACGTGGACAGGACGTGGACGTGGACGTGGACATGGACGTGGACGTGGACGTGGACATGGACGTGGACGTGGACGTGGACATGGACGTGGACATGGACGTGGACGTGGACGTGGACGTGGACGTGGACGTGGACATGGACGTGGACTGGACGTGGACGTGGGACATGGACATGGACGTGGACGTGGACGTGGACGTGGACGTGGACATGGACGTGGACAGACGTGGACGTGGACGTGGACATGGACGTGGACATGGACGTGGACGTGGACGTGGACATGGACGTGGACGTGGACGTGGACGTGGACATGGACGTGGACGTGGACGTGGACGTGGACGTGGACGTGGACAGGACATGGACGTGGACGTGGACGTGGACGTGGACGTGGACATGGACGTGGACGTGGACGTGGACGTGGACGTGGACGTGGACATGGACGTGGACGTGGACCGTGGACGTGGACGTGGACGTGGACGTGGACGTGGACATGGACGTGGACGTGGGTGGACGTGGACGTGGACGTGGACGTGGACGTGGACGTGGACGTGGACGTGGACGTGGACGTGGACATGGACGTGGACGTGGACGTGGACGTGGACGTGGACGTGGACATGGACGTGGACATGGGGACGTGGACGTGGACGTGGACATGGACGTGGACGTGGACGTGGACTGGACGTGACGTGGACGTGGACGTGGACATGGACGTGGACGTGGACGTGGACGTGGACGTGGACGTGGACGTGGACGTGGACGTGGACATGGACGTGGACGTGGACGTGGACGTGGACGTGGACGTGGACGTGGACATGGACGTGGACATGGACGTGGACGTGGACGTGGACATGGACGTGGACGTGGACGTGGACGTGGACGTGGACGTGGACATGGACGTGGACGTGGACGTGGACGTGGACGTGGACAGTGGACGTGGACGTGGACGTGGACGTGGACGTAGACGTGGACGTGGACATGGACGTGGACGTGGACGTGGACATGGACGTGGACGTGGACGTGGACATGGACGTGAACGTGGACGTGGACATGGACGTGGACGTGGACGTGGACGTGGACATGGACAGTGGACATGGACGTGGACGTGGACGTGGACGTGGACTGGACGTGGACGTGGACGTGGACGTGGACGTGGACATGGACGTGGACATGGACGTGGACATGGACGTGGACGTGGACGTGGACGTGGACGTGGACGTGGACGGGACGTGGACGTGGACGTGACGTGGACGTAACATGGACGTGGACGTGGACGTGGACATGGACGTGGACGTGGACGTGGACATGGACGTGGACGTGGACGTGGACGTGGACGTGGACGTGGACGTGGACATGGACATGGACGTGGATGTGGACGTGGACGTGGACGTGGACGTGGACGTGGACATGGACGTGGACGTGGACGTGGACATGGACATGGACGTGGACGTGGACGTTGGACGTGGACGTGGACATGGACGTGGACGTGGACGTGGACGTGGACATGGACGTGGACATGGACGTGGACGTGGACGTGGACGTGGACGTGGACGTGGACGTGGACGTGGACGTGGACATGGACATGGACGTGGACATGGACGTGGACGTGGACATGGACGTGGACGTGGACGTGGACGTGGACGTGGACGTGGACGTGGACGGACGTGGACGTGGACATGACATGGACGTGGACGTGGACGTGGACGTGGACGTGGACGTGGACGTGGACGTGGACGTGGACGTGGACGTGGACGTGGACGTGGACGTGGACGTGGACGTGGACGTGGACGTGGACGTGGACGTGGACGTGGACATGGACGTGGACGTGGACGGGACGTGGACGTGGACGTGGACGTGGACGTGGACGTGGACGTGGACGTGGACGTGGACGTGGACATGGACGTGGACGTGGGACGTGGACGTGGACGTGGACATGGACATGGACTGGACGTGGACGTGGACGTGGACATAGACGTGGACATGGACGTGGACGTGGACGTGGACGTGGACGTGGACGTGGACGTGGACGTGGACGTGGACGTGGACGTGGACATGGACGTGGACGTGGACGTGGACATGGACGTGGACGTGGACGTGGACATGGACGTGGACGTGGACGTGGACATGGACGTGGACGTGGACGTGGACATGGACGTGGACATGGACGTGGACGTGGACGTGGACGTGGACGTGGACGTGGACATGGACGTGGACGGACGTGGACGTGGACATGGACATGGACGTGGACGTGGACGTGGACGTGGACGTGGACATGGACGTGGACTGGACGTGGACGTGGACGTGGACATGGACGTGGACATGGACGTGGACGTGGACGTGGACATGGACGTGGACGTGGACGTGGACGTGGACATGGACGTGGACGTGGACGTGGACGTGGACGTGGACGTGGACGTGGACATGGACGTGGACGTGGACGTGGACGTGGACGTGGACATGGACGTGGACGTGGACGTGGACGTGGACGTGGACATGGACGTGGACGTGGACGTGGACGTGGACGTGGACGTGGACATGGACGTGGACGTGGACGTGGACGTGGACGTGGACGTGGACGTGGACGTGGACGTGGACGTGGACGTGGACGTGGACGTGGACGTGGACGTGGACATGGACGTGGACGTGGACGTGGACGTGGACGGGACGTGGACGTGGACATGGACGTGGACATGGACGTGGACGTGGACGTGGACATGGACGTGGACGTGGACGTGGACGTGGACGTGGACGTGGACGTGGACGTGGACATGGACGTGGACGTGGACGTGGACGTGGACGTGGACGTGGACGTGGACGTGGACGTGGACGTGGACGTGGACGTGGACGTGGACGTGGACGTGGACATGGACGTGGACATGGACGTGGACGTGGACGTGGACATGGACGTGGACGTGGACGTGGACGTGGACGTGGACGTGGACGTGGACGTGGACGTGGACGTGGACGTGGACATGGACGTGGACAGGACGTGGACGTGGACGTGGACGTGGACGTGGACGTGGACGTGGACGTGGACGTGGACGTGGACGTGGACGTGGACGTGGACTTGGACGTGGACATGGACAGTGGACGTGGACGTGGACGTGGACGTGGACGTGGACGTGGACGTGGACGTGGACGTGGACGTGGACGTGGACGTGGACGTGGACGTGGACATGGACGTGGACGTGGACGTGGACATGGACGTGGACGTGGACGTGGACATGGACGTGGACGTGGACGTGGACGTGGACGTGGACGTGGACGTGGACGTGGACGTGGACGTGGACGTGGACGTGGACGTGGACATGGACGTGGACGTGGACGTGGACATGGACGTGGACATGGACGTGGACGTGGACGTGGACGTGGACGTGGACATGGACGTGGACGTGGACGTGGACATGGACGTGGACGTGGACGTGGACGTGGACGTGGACGTGGACGTGGACGTGGACGTGGACGTGGACGTGGACGTGGACATGGACATGGACGTGGACGTGGACGTGGACGTGGACGTGGACATGGACGTGGACGTGGACGTGGACGTGGACATGGACGTGGACATGGACGTGGACGTGGACGTGGACATGGACGTGGACGTGGACGTGGACGTGGACGTGGACGTGGACGTGGACGTGGACGTGGACGTGGACGTGGACATGGACGTGGACGTGGACGTGGACGTGGACGTGGACCTGGACGTGGACGTGGACGTGGACGTGGACGTGGACATGGACGTGGACGTGGACGTGGACGTGGACGTGGACGTGGACGTGGACGTGGACGTGGACGTGGACGTGGACGTGGACGTGGACGTGGACGTGGACGTGGACGTGGACGTGGACGTGGACGTGGACGTGGACGTGGACGTGGACGTGGACGTGGACGTGGACGTGGACGTGGACGTGGACGTGGACGTGGACGTGGACGTGGACGTGGACGTGGACGTGGACATGGACGTGGACGTGGACGTGGACGTGGACGTGGACATGGACGTGGACGTGGACGTGGACGTGGACGTGGACATGGACGTGGACATGGACGTGGACGTGGACGTGGACGTGGACGTGGACGTGGACGTGGACGTGGACGTGGACGTGGACGTGGGGTGGGGACATGGACGTGGACGTGGACGTGGACAAGGACGTGGACGTGGACGTGGACATGGACGTGGACGTGGACGTGGACGTGGACGTGGACGTGGACGTGGACATGGACGTGGACATGGACGTGGACGTGGACGTGGACGTGGACGTGGACGTGGACATGGACGTGGACGTGGACGTGGACGTGGACATGGACGTGGACGTGGACGTGGACGTGGACGTGGACGTGGACATGGACGTGGACATGGACGTGGACGTGGACGTGGACATGGACGTGGACATGGACGTGGACGTGGACGTGGACATGGACGTGGACGTGGACGTGGACGTGGACATGGACGTGGACGTGGACGTGGACGTGGACGTGGACGTGGACATGGACATGGACGTGGACGTGGACGTGGACGTGGACGTGGACATGGACGTGGACGTGGACGTGGACGTGGACGTGGACATGGACGTGGACGTGGACGTGGACGTGGACGTGGACGTGGACATGGACGTGGACGTGGACGTGGACGTGGACGTGGACGTGGACGTGGACGTGGACGTGGACGTGGACGTGGACGTGGACGTGGACGTGGACATGGACGTGGACGTGGACGTGGACGTGGACGTGGACGTGGACGTGGACATGGACGTGGACATGGACGTGGACGTGGACGTGGACATGGACGTGGACGTGGACGTGGACGTGGACGTGGACGTGGACGTGGACGTGGACATGGACGTGGACGTGGACGTGGACGTGGACGTGGACGTGGACGTGGACGTGGACGTGGACGTGGGACGTGGACGTGGACGTGGACGTGGACGTGGACGTGGACGTGGACGTGGACATGGACGTGGACATGGACGTGGACGTGGACGTGGACATGGACGTGGACGTGGACGTGGACGTGGATGGACGTGGACGTGGACGTGGACGTGGACGTGGACGTGGACATGGACGTGGACGTGGACGTGGACGTGGACGTGGACGTGGACGTGGACGTGGACGTGGACTGGACGTGGACGTGGACGTGGACGTGGACGTGGACGTGGACATGGACGTGGACATGGACGTGGACGTGGACGTGGACGTGGACGTGGACGTGGACGTGGACGTGGACGTGGACATGGACGTGGACGTGGACGTGGACGTGGACGTGGACGTGGACGTGGACATGGACGTGGACGTGGACGTGGACATGGACGTGGACGTGGACGTGGACGTGGACGTGGACGTGGACATGGACGTGGACGTGGACGTGGACGTGGACGTGGACGTGGACGTGGACGTGGACGTGGACATGGACATGGACGTGGACGTGGACATGGACGTGGACGTGGACGTGGACGTGGACGTGGACGTGGACGTGGACGTGGACGTGGACGTGGACGTGGACGTGGACGTGGACGTGGACGTGGACGTGGACGTGGACGTGGACATGGACGTGGACATGGACGTGGACATGGACGTGGACGTGGACGTGGACGTGGACGTGGACGTGGACGTGGACATGGACATGGACGTGGACGTGGACGTGGACGTGGACGTGGACGTGGACGTGGACGTGGACATGGACGTGGTGGACGTGGACGTGGACATGGACATGGACGTGGACGTGGACGTGGACGTGGACGTGGACATGGACGTGGACGTGGACGTGGACGTGGACGTGGACATGGACGTGGACATGGACTGGACGTGGACGTGGACGTGGACGTGGACGTGGACGTGGACGTGGACGTGGACATGGACGTGGACGTGGACATGGACGTGGACGTGGACATGGACGTGGACATGGACGTGGACGTGGACGTGGACGTGGACGTGGACGTGGACGTGGACGTGGACATGGACGTGGACATGGACATGGACGTGGACGTGGACGTGGACGTGGACATGGACGTGGACGTGGACGTGGACGTGGACGTGGACGTGGACGTGGACGTGGACGTGGACGTGGACGTGGACGTGGACATGGACGTGGACGTGGACGTGGACGTGGACATGGACGTGGACGTGGACGTGGACATGGACGTGGACGTGGACGTGGACGTGGACGTGGACGTGGACATGGACGTGGACGTGGACGTGGACGTGGACGTGGACGTGGACGTGGACGTGGACGTGGACGTGGACGTGGACGTGGACGTGGACATGGACGTGGACGTGGACGTGGACATGGACATGGACGTGGACGTGGACGTGGACGTGGACGTGGACATGGACGTGGACATGGACGTGGACATGGACGTGGACATGGACGTGGACATGGACGTGGACATGGACGTGGACGTGGACGTGGACGTGGACGTGGACGTGGACATGGACGTGGACGTGGACATGGACGTGGACGTGGACGTGGACGTGACGTGGACATGGACGTGGACGTGGACGTGGACGTGGACGTGGACGTGGACGTGGACGTGGACGTGGACGTGGACGTGGACGTGGACATGGACGTGGACATGGACGTGGACATGGACGTGGACGTGGACGTGGACATGGACGTGGACGTGGACATGGACGTGGACATGGACGTGGACGTGGACGTGGACGTGGACGTGGACGTGGACGTGGACATGGACATGGACGTGGACGTGGACGTGGACGTGGACATGGACATGGACGTGGACGTGGACGTGGACGTGGACGTGGACGTGGACGTGGACATGGACGTGGACATGGACGTGGACGTGGACGTGGACATGGACGTGGACATGGACGTGGACGTGGACGTGGACATGGACGTAGTTGTGGACGTGGACGTGGACATGGACGTGGACGTGGACGTGGACGTGGACGTGGACGTGGACATGGACTGGACGTGGACGTGGACGTGGACGTGGACGTGGACGTGGACATGGACGTGGACGTGGACGTGGACGTGGACGTGGACATGGACGTGGACGTGGACGTGGACGTGGACGTGGACGTGGACGTGGACGTGGACATGGACGTGGACGTGGACGTGGACGTGGACGTGGACGTGGACGTGGACGTGGACATGGACGTGGACGTGGACGTGGACGTGGACGTGGACGTGGACGTGGACATGGACGTGGACATGGACGTGGACGTGGACGTGGACATGGACGTGGACGTGGACGTGGACGTGGACGTGGACGTGGACGTGGACGTGGACGTGGACATGGACGTGGACGTGGACGTGGACGTGGACGTGGACGTGGACGTGGACGTGGACGTGGACATGGACATGGACGTGGACGTGGACGTGGACGTGGACGTGGACGTGGACTGGACGTGGACATGGACGTGGACGTGGACGTGGACATGGACGTGGACGTGGACGTGGACGTGGACGTGGACATGGACGTGGACGTGGACGTGGACGTGGACGTGGACGTGGACGTGGACGTGGACGTGGACATGGACGTGGACATGGACATGGACGTGGACGTGGACGTGGACGTGGACATGGACGTGGACGTGGACGTGGACATGGACGTGGACGTGGACATGGACGTGGACGTGGACATGGACGTGGACATGGACGTGGACGTGGACGTGGACGTGGACGTGGACGTGGACGTGGACGTGGACATGGACGTGGACATGGACGTGGACGTGGACGTGGACGTGGACGTGGACATGGACGTGGACGTGGACGTGGACGTGGACGTGGACGTGGACGTGGACGTGGACGTGGACATGGACATGGACGTGAACGTGGACGTGGACGTGGACATGGACGTGGACGTGGACGTGGACATGGACATGGACGTGGACGTGGACGTGGACGTGGACGTGGACATGGACGTGGACGTGGACGTGGACGTGGACGTGGACGTGGACGTGGACGTGGACGTGGACATGGACGTGGACGTGGACGTGGACGTGGACATGGACGTGGACGTGGACGTGGACATGGACATGGACGTGGACGTGGACTGGACGTGGACGTGGACGTGGACATGGACGTGGACATGGACGTGGACATGGACGTGGACGTGGACGTGGACATGGACGTGGACGTGGACGTGGACGTGGACGTGGACGTGGATGTGGACGTGGACGTGGACGTGGACGTAGACGTGGACGTGGACGTGGACGTGGACTTGGACGTGGACGTGGACGTGGACGTGGACATGGACGTGGTTGGGACATGGACGTGGACATGGACGTGGACGTGGACGTGGACGTGGACGTGGACGTGGACATGGACATGGACGTGGACGTGGACGTGGACGTGGACGTGGACGTGGACGTGGACGTGGACGTGGACATGGACATGGACGTGGACGTGGACGTGGACGTGGACGTGGACGTGGACATGGACGTGGACGTGGACGTGGACGTGGACGTGGACGTGGACATGGACGTGGACGTGGACGTGGACCTGGACGTGGACGTGGACGTGGACGTGGACGTGGACGTGGACGTGGACGTGGACGTGGACATGGACGTGGACATGGACGTGGACGTGGACGTGGACGTGGACGTGGACGTGGACGTGGACGTGGACGTGGACGTGGACTTGGACGTGGACCTGGACGTGGACGTGGACGTGGACGTGGACGTGGACGTGGATGTGGACGTGGACGTGGACGTGGACATGGACGTGGACGTGGACGTGGACGTGGACGTGGACGTGGACGTGGACGTGGACGTGGACGTGGACTTGGACGTGGACTGGACGTGGACGTGGACGTGGACGTGGACGTGGACGTGGACGTGGACTTGGACGTGGACGTGGACGTGGACGTGGACGTGGACGTGGACTTGGACGTGGACGTGGACGTGGACGTGGACATGGACGTGGACGTGGACGTGGACGTGGACGTGGACGTGGACCTGGACTTGGACGTGGACGTGGACGTGGACATGGACGTGGACGTGGACGTGGACGTGGACGTGGACGTGGACGTGGACGTGGACGTGGACATGGACGTGGACGAGGACGTGGACGTGGACGTGGACGTGGACGTGGACGTGGACGTGGACGTGGACGTGGACGTGGACGTGGACGTGGACGTGGACGTGGACGTGGACGTGGACATGGACGTGGACGTGGACGTGGACGTGGACGTGGACGTGGACATGGACGTGGACGTGGACGTGGACGTGGACGTGGACGTGGACATGGACGTGGACGTGGACGTGGACGTGGACGTGGACATGGACATGGACTTGGACGTGGACGTAGACGTGGACATGGACGTGGACATGGACGTGGACGTGGACGTGGACTTGGACGTGGACGTGGACGTGGACGTGGACGTGGACGTGGACGTGGACGTGGACGTGGACGTGGACAAGGACGTGGACGTGGACGTGGACATGGACGTGAACGTGGACGTGGACATGGACGTGGACGTGGACGTGGACATGGACGTGGACATGGACGTGGACGTGGACGTGGACGTGGACGTGGACGTGGACATGGACGTGGACGTGGACGTGGACGTGGACATGGACATGGACGTGGACGTGGACGTGGACGTGGACGTGGACATGGACGTGGACATGGACGTGGACGTGGACGTGGACATGGACGTGGACATGGACGTGGACGTGGACGTGGACATGGACGTGGTTGTGGACGTGGACGTGGACATGGACGTGGACGTGGACGTGGACGTGGACGTGGACGTGGACATGGACATGGACGTGGACGTGGACGTGGACGTGGACGTGGACATGGACGTGGACGTGGACGTGGACGTGGACGTGGACATGGACGTGGACGTGGACGTGGACGTGGACGTGGACGTGGACGTGGACGTGGACATGGACGTGGACGTGGACGTGGACGTGGACGTGGACGTGGACGTGGACGTGGACGTGGACGTGGACGTGGACGTGGACATGGACGTGGACGTGGACGTGGACGTGGACGTGGACGTGGACATGGACGTGGACATGGACGTGGACGTGGACGTGGACATGGACGTGGACGTGGACGTGGACGTGGACGTGGACGTGGACGTGGACGTGGACATGGACGTGGACGTGGACGTGGACGTGGACGTGGACGTGGACGTGGACGTGGACGTGGACATGGACGTGGACGTGGACGTGGACGTGGACGTGGACGTGGACGTGGACATGGACGTGGACATGGACGTGGACGTGGACGTGGACATGGACGTGGACGTGGACGTGGACGTGGACGTGGACGTGGACATGGACGTGGACATGGACGTGGACGTGGACGTGGACGTGGACGTGGACGTGGACGTGGACGTGGACGTGGACGTGGACGTGGACGTGGACATGGACGTGGACGTGGACGTGGACATGGACGTGGACGTGGACGTGGACATGGACGTGGACGTGGACGTGGACATGGACGTGGACGTGGACGTGGACGTGGACATGGACATGGACATGGACGTGGACGTGGACGTGGACGTGGACTTGGACGTGGACGTGGACGTGGACCTGGACGTGGACATGGACATGGACATGGACGTGGACATGGACGTGGACGTGGACGTGGACGTGGACGTGGACGTGGACGTGGACGTGGACGTGGACGTGGACGTGGACGTAAACATGGACGTGGACGTGGACGTGGACATGGACGTGGACATGGACGTGGACATGGACGTGGACGTGGACGTGGACATGGACGTGGACGTGGACGTGGACATGGACATGGACGTGGACGTGGACGTGGACGTGGACGTGGACCTGGACGTGACATGGACGTGGACGTGGACGTGGACATGGACATGGACGTGGACGTGGACGTGGACGTGGACGTGGACATGGACGTGGACGTGGACGTGGACATGGACGTGGACATGGACGTGGACGTGGACGTGGACATGGACGTGGACGTGGACGTGGACGTGGACATGGACATGGACGTGGACATGGACGTGGACGTGGACATGGACGTGGACGTGGACGTGGACGTGGACGTGGACCTGGACGTGGACCTGGACGTGGACGTGGACATGGACATGGACGTGGACGTGGACGTGGACGTGGACGTGGACGTGGACGTGGACGTGGACGTGGACGTGGACGTGGACGTGGACGTGGACGTGGACGTGGACGTGGACGTGGACGTGGACGTGGACGTGGACATGGACGTGGACGTGGACGTGGACGTGGACGTGGACGTGGACGTGGACGTGGACGTGGACGTGGACGTGGACGTGGACGTGGACATGGACGTGGACGTGGACGTGGACGTGGACGTGGACATGGACATGGACTTGGACGTGGACGTGGACGTGGACATGGACGTGGACATGGACGTGGACGTGGACGTGGACTTGGACCTGGACGTGGACGTGGACGTGGACGTGGACGTGGACGTGGACATGGACGTGGACGTGGACGTGGACATGGACGTGGACGTGGACGTGGACATGGACGTGGACGTGGACGTGGACATGGACGTGGACGTGGACGTGGACATGGACGTGGACATGGACGTGGACGTGGACGTGGACGTGGACGTGGACGTGGACATGGACGTGGACGTGGACGTGGACGTGGACGTGGACATGGACGTGGACGTGGACGTGGACGTGGACGTGGACATGGACGTGGACATGGACGTGGACGTGGACGTGGACATGGACGTGGACATGGACGTGGACGTGGACGTGGACATGGACGTGGTTGTGGACGTGGACGTGGACATGGACGTGGACGTGGACGTGGACGTGGACGTGGACGTGGACATGGACATGGACGTGGACGTGGACGTGGACGTGGACGTGGACATGGACGTGGACGTGGACGTGGACGTGGACGTGGACATGGACGTTGACGTGGACGTGGACGTGGACGTGGACGTGGACATGGACGTGGACGTGGACGTGGACGTGGACGTGGACGTGGACGTGGACGTGGACGTGGACGTGGACGTGGACGTGGACGTGGACGTGGACGTGGACATGGACGTGGACGTGGACGTGGACGTGGACGTGGACGTGGACGTGGACATGGACGTGGACATGGACGTGGACGTGGACGTGGACATGGACGTGGACGTGGACGTGGACGTGGACGTGGACGTGGACGTGGACGTGGACATGGACGTGGACGTGGACGTGGACGTGGACGTGGACGTGGACGTGGACGTGGACGTGGACGTGGACGTGGACGTGGACGTGGACATGGACGTGGACATGGACGTGGACGTGGACGTGGACATGGACGTGGACGTGGACGTGGACGTGGACGTGGACGTGGACGTGGACGTGGACGTGGACGTGGACGTGGACATGGACGTGGACGTGGACGTGGACGTGGACGTGGACGTGGACGTGGACGTGGACTTGGACGTGGACGTGGACGTGGACGTGGACTTGGACGTGGACATGGACATGGACATGGACGTGGACGTGGACGTGGACGTGGACGTGGACGTGGACGTGGACGTGGACGTGGACATGGACGTGGACGTGGACGTGGACATGGACGTGGACGTGGACGTGGACATGGACGTGGACGTGGACGTGGACATGGACGTGGACGTGGACGTGGACGTGGACGTGGACGTGGACGTGGACGTGGACGTGGACGTGGACGTGGACGTGGACGTGGACATGGACGTGGACGTGGACGTGGACATGGACGTGGACATGGACGTGGACATGGACGTGGACGTGGACGTGGACATGGACGTGGACGTGGACGTGGACATGGACATGGACGTGGATGTGGACGTGGACGTGGACGTGGACCTGGACGTGGACATGGACGTGGACGTGGACGTGGACATGGACATGGACGTGGACGTGGACGTTGACGTGGACGTGGACATGGACGTGGACGTGGACGTGGACGTGGACATGGACGTGGACATGGACGTGGACGTGGACGTGGACATGGACGTGGACGTGGACGTGGACGTGGACGTGGACATGGACATGGACGTGGACATGGACGTGGACGTGGACATGGACGTGGACGTGGACGTGGACGTGGACCTGGACGTGGACCTGGACGTGGACGTGGACATGGACATGGACGTGGACGGACATCGGAATGGACGTGGACGTGGACGTGGACGTGGACGTGGACGTGGACGTGGACGTGGACGTGGACGTGGACCGTGGACGTGGACGGGACGTGGACGTGGACGTGGACGTTGACGTGGACGTGGACATGGACGTGGACGTGGGACGTGGACGTGGACGTGGACGTGGACGTAGACGTGGACGTGGACGTGGACGTGGACGTGTACGTGGACATGGACGTGGACGTGGACGTGGACGTGTACGTGGACATGGACATGGACTTGGACGTGGACGTAGACGTGAACATAGACGTGGACATGGACGTGGACGTGGACGTGGACTTGGACCTGGACGTGGACGTGGACGTGGACGTGGACGTGGACGTGGACATGGACGTGGACGTGGACGTGGACAAGGACGTGGACGTGGACGTGGACATGGACGTGAACGTGGACGTGGACATGGACGTGGACGTGGACGTGGACATGGACGTGGACATGGACGTGGACGTGGACGTGGACGTGGACGTGGACGTGGACATGGACGTGGACGTGGACGTGAACGTGGACATGGACATGGACGTGGACGTGGACGTGGACGTGGACGTGGACATGGACGTGGACATGGACGTGGACGTGGACGTGGACATGGACGTGGACATGGACGTGGACGTGGACGTGGACATGGACGTGGACGTGGACGTGGACGTGGACATGGACGTGGACGTGGACGTGGACGTGGACGTGGACGTGGACATGGACATGGACGTGGACGTGGACGTGGACGTGGACGTGGACATGGACGTGGACGTGGACGTGGACGTGGACGTGGACATGGACGTGGACGTGGACGTGGACGTGGACGTGGACGTGGACATGGACGTGGACGTGGACGTGGACGTGGACGTGGACGTGGACGTGGACGTGGACGTGGACGTGGACGTGGACGTGGACGTGGACGTGGACGTGGACATGGACGTGGACGTGGACGTGGACGTGGACGTGGACGTGGACGTGGACATGGACGTGGACATGGACGTGGACGTGGACGTGGACATGGACGTGGACGTGGACGTGGACGTGGACGTGGACGTGGACGTGGACGTGGACATGGACGTGGACGTGGACGTGGACGTGGACGTGGACGTGGACGTGGACGTGGACGTGGACGTGGACGTGGACGTGGACGTGGACGTGGACGTGGACGTGGACGTGGACGTGGACATGGACGTGGACATGGACGTGGACGTGGACGTGGACATGGACGTGGACGTGGACGTGGACGTGGACGTGGACGTGGACGTGGACGTGGACGTGGACGTGGACATGGACGTGGACGTGGACGTGGACGTGGACGTGGACGTGGACGTGGACGTGGACGTGGACTTGGACGTGGACGTGGACGTGGACGTGGACTTGGACGTGGACATGGACATGGACATGGACGTGGACGTGGACGTGGACGTGGACGTGGACGTGGACGTGGACGTGGACGTGGACATGGACGTGGACGTGGACGTGGACATGGACGTGGACGTGGACGTGGACATGGACGTGAACGTGGACGTGGACATGGACGTGGACGTGGACGTGGACGTGGACATGGACATGGACATGGACGTGGACGTGGACGTGGACGTGGACTTGGACGTGGACGTGGACCTGGACGTGGACATGGACATGGACATGGACGTGGACATGGACGTGGACGTGGACGTGGACGTGGACGTGGACGTGGACGTGGACCTGGACCTGGACGTGGACGTGGACGTTTACGTGGACGTGGACATGGACGTGGACGTGGACGTGGACATGGACGTGGACATGGACGTGGACATGGACGTGGACGTGGACGTGGACATGGACGTGGACGTGGACGTGGACATGGACATGGACGTGGATGTGGACGTGGACGTGGACGTGGACGTGGACCTGGACGTTGACATGGACGTGGACGTGGACGTGGACATGGACATGGACGTGGACGTGGACGTGGACGTGGACGTGGACATGGACGTGGACGTGGACGTGGAAGTGGACGTGGACATGGACGTGGACATGGACATGGACGTGGACGTGGACGTGGACGTGGACATGGACGTGGACGTGGACGTGGACATGGACGTGGACGTGGACATGGACGTGGACGTGGACATGGACGTGGACATGGACGTGGACGTGGACGTGGACGTGGACGTGGACCTGGACGTGGACGTGGACATGGACCGTGGACATGGACATGGACGTGGACGTGGACGTGGACGTGGACATGGACGTGGACGTGGACGTGGACGTGGACGTGGACGTGGACGTGGACGTGGACGTGGACGTGGACGTGGACATGGACATGGACGTGGACCGTGGACGTGGACGTTGACATGGACGTGGACGTGGGACAGTGGACTGGACATGGACGTGGACGTGGACGTTGACGTGGACGTGGACAGTGGACGTGGACGTGGACGTGACGTGGACGTGGACGTGGACGTGGACGTGGACATGGGACGTGGACGTGGACAGTGGACGTGGACATGGACGTGGACGTGGACGTGGACCGTGGACATGGACGTGGACGTGGACGTGGACATGGACATGGACGTGGACGTGGACGTGGACGTGACGTGGACATGGACGTGGACATGGACGTGGACATGGACGTGGACATGGACGTGGACATGGACGTGGACATGGACGTGGACGTGGACGTGGACGTGGACGTGGACGTGGACATGGACGTGGACGTGGACATGGACGTGGACGTGGACTGTGGACGTGAACGTGGACATGGACATGGACGTGGACGTGGACGTGGACGTGGACGTGGACGTGGACGTGGACCGTGGACGAGGACGTGGACGTAGACATAGACGTGGACATAGACGTGGACATGGACGTGGACGTGGACGTGGACATGGACGTGGACGTGGACATGGACGTGGACATGGACGTGGACGTGGACGTTGGACGTGGGACGTGGACGTGGACGTGGACATGGACATGGACGTGGACGTGGACGTGAACGTGGACATGGACATGGACGTGGACGTGGACGTGGACTGACGTGCGTGGACGTGGACGTGGACGTGGACATGGACGTGGACATGGACGTGGACGTGGACATGACATGGACGTGGACATGGACGTGGACGTGGACGTGGACATGGACGTAGTTGTGGACGTGGACGTGGACATGGACGTGGACGTGGACGTGGACGTGGACGTGGACGTGGACATGGACCTGGAACGTGGACGTGGACGTGGACGTGGACGTGGACGTGGACATGGACGTGGACGTGGACGTGGACGTAGACGTGGACATGGACGTGGACGTGGACGTGGACGTGGACGTGGACGTGGACGTGGACGTGGACATGGACGTGGACGTGGACGTGGACGTGGACGTGGACGTGGACGTGGACGTGGACATGGACGTGGACGTGGACGTGGACGTGGACCGTGGACGTGGACGTGGACATGGACTTGGACATGGACTGGACGTGGACGTGGACATGGACGTGGACGTGGACGTGGACGTGGACGTGGACGTGTACGTGGACGTGTACGTGGACATGGACGTGGACGTGGACGTGGACGTGGACGTGGACGTGGACGTGGACGTGGACGTGGACATGGACATGGACGTGGACGTGGACGTGGACGTGGACGTGGACGTGGACCTGGACGTTGACATGGACGTGGACGTGGACGTGGACATGGACGTGGACGTGGACGTTGACGTGGACGTGGACATGGACGTGGACGTGGACGTGGACGTGGACGTGGACGTGGACGTGGACGTGGACATGGACGTGGACATGGACATGGACGTGGACGTGGACGTGGACGTGGACATGGACGTGGACGTGGACGTGGACATGGACGTGGACGTGGACATGGACGTGGATGTGGACATGGACGTGGACATGGACGTGGACGTGGACGTGGACGTGGACGTGGACCTGGACGTGGACGTGGACATGGACGTGGACATGGACATGGACGTGGACGTGGACGTGGACGTGGACATGGACGTGGACGTGGACGTGGACGTGGACGTGGACGTGGACGTGGACGTGGACGTGGACAAGGACATGGACGTGAACGTGGACGTGGACGTTGACATGGACGTGGACGTGGACGTGGACATGGACATGGACGTGGACGTGGACGTTGACGTGGACGTGGACATGGACGTGGACGTGGACGTGGACGTGGACGTGGTCGTGGACGTGGACGTGGACGTGGACATGGACGTCGACGTGGACGTGGACGGGGACATGGACGTGGACGTGGACGTGGACATGGACATGGACGTGGACGTGGACGTGGACGTGGACGTGGACGTGGACATGGACGTGGACATGGACGTGGACATGGACGTGGACGTGGACGTGGACATGGACGTGGACGTGGACGTGGACGTGGACGTGGACGTGGATGTGGACGTGGACTTGGACGTGGACGTAGACGTGGACGTGGACGTGGACCTGGACTTGGACGTGGACGTGGACGTGGATGTGGACATGGACGTGGTTGGGACATGGACGTGGACATGGACGTGGACGTGGACGTGGACGTGGACGTGGACATGGACATGGACGTGGACGTGGACGTGGACGTGGACGTGGACGTGGACGTGGACGTGGACGTGGACATGGACATGGACGTGGACGTGGACGTGGACGTGGACGTGGACGTGGACATGGACGTGGACGTGGACGTGGACGTGGACGTGGACGTGGACATGGACGTGAACGTGGACGTGGACCTGGACGTGGACGTGGACGTGGACGTGGACGTGGACGTGGACGTGGACGTGGACATGGACGTGGACATGGACGTGGACGTGGACGTGGACGTGGACGTGGACCTGGACGTGGACGTGGAAGTGGACGTGGACTTGGACGTGGACCTGGACGTGGACGTGGACGTGGACGTGGACGTGGACGTGGATGTGGACGTGGACGTGGACGTGGACATGGACGTGGACGTGGACGTGGACGTGGACCTGGACTTGGACGTGGACGTGGACGTGGACGTGGACTTGGACGTGGACCTGGACGTGGACGTGGACGTGGACGTGGACGTGGATGTGGACGTGGACTTGGACGTGGACGTGGACGTGGACGTGGACGTGGACCTGGACTTGGACGTGGACGTGGACGTGGACGTGGACATGGACGTGGTTGGGACATGGACGTGGACATGGACGTGGACGTGGACGTGGACGTGGACGTGGACGTGGACATGGACATGGACGTGGACGTGGACGTGGACGTGGACGTGGACGTGGACGTGGACATGGACATGGACATGGACGTGGACGTGGACGTGGACGTGGACGTGGACGTGGACATGGACGTGGACGTGGACGTGGACGTGGATGTGGACGTGGACGTGGACATGGACGTGAACGTGGACGTGGACCTGGACGTGGACGTGGACGTGGACGTGGACGTGGACGTGGACGTGGACGTGGACATGGACGTGGACATGGACGTGGACGTGGACGTGGACATGGACGTGGACGTGGACGTGGACGTGGACGTGGACGTGGACGTTGACGTGGACGTGGACATGGACATGGACGTGGACGTGGACGTGGACGTTGACGTGGACTTGGACGTGGACGTGGACGTGGACGTGGACGTGGACCTGGACGTGGACGTGGACGTGGACGTGGACTTGGACGTGGACCTGGACGTGGACGTGGACGTGGACGTGGACGTGGACGTGGACGTGGACGTGGACGTGGACATGGACGTGGACGTGGACGTGGACGTGGACCTGGACTTGGACGTGGACGTGGACGTGGACGTGGACTTGGACGTGGACCTGGACGTGGACGTGGACGTGGACGTGGACGTGGACGTGGACGTGGACGTGGACTTGGACGTGGACGTGGACGTGGACGTGGACGTGGACTTGGACGTGGACGTGGACGTGGACTTGGACGTGGACCTGGACATGGACGTGGACGTGGACGTGGACGTGGACGTGGACGTGGACGTTTACGTGGACGTGGACATGGACGTGGACGTGGACGTGGACATGGACGTGGACATGGACGTGGACATGGACGTGGACGTGGACGTGGACATGGACGTGGACGTGGACGTGGACCTGGACGTGGACGTGGACGTGGACGTGGACGTGGACGTGGACGTGGACGTGGACGTGGACGTGGACATGGACGTGGACGTGGACGTGGACATGGACGTGGACGTGGACGTGGACCTGTACGTGAACGTGGACGTGGACATGGACGTGGACGTGGACGTGGACCTGTACGTGAACGTGGACGTGGACATGGACGTGGACGTGGACATGGACATGGACGCGGACGTGGACGTGGACGTGGACTTGGACGTGGACTTGGACGTGGACTTGGACGTGGACTTGGACGTGGACATGGACGTGGACATGGACGTGGACGTGGACGTGGACGTGGACATGGACGTGGACGTGGACATGGACATGGACGTGGACGTGGATGTGGACGTGGACGTGGACGTGGACCTGGACGTGGACGTGGACGTGGACGTTTACGTGGACGTGGACCTGGACGTGGACGTGGACGTGGACATGGACGTGGACGTGGACGTGGACATGGACGTGGACATGGACGTGGACATGGACGTGGACGTGGACGTGGACATGGACGTGGACGTGGACATGGACATGGACATGGACGTGGACGTGGACGTGGACATGGACATGGACCTGGACATGGACGTGGACGTGGACATGGACTGGACGTGGACGTGGACATGGACATGGACGTGGACGTGGACGTGGACGTTGACGTGGACGTTGACGTGGACGTGGACGTGGACGTGGACGTGGACGTGGACGTGGACGTGGACATGGACGTGGACGTGGACGTGGACGTGGACGTGGACGTGGACCTGGACGTGGACGTGGACGTGGACGTGGACATGGACGTGGACATGGACGTGGACGTGGACGTGGACATGGACATGGACGTGGACGTGGACATGGACATGGACGTGGACGTGGACGTGGACGTTGACGTGGACGTGGACATGGACATGGACGTGGACGTGGACGTGGACGTGGACGTGAACGTGAACGTGGACATGGACGTGGACGTGGACGAGGACGTGGACGTGGACGTGGACGTGGACATGGACGTGGACATGGACGTGGACGTGGACGTGGACGTGGACATGGACGTGGACGTGGACCTGGACGTGGACGTGGACGTGGACGTGGACGTGGACATGGACGTGGACATGGACGTGGACGTGGACGTGGACGTGGACGTGGACATCGATTGTGGCAAACACGATCGTGATGGGCGGTCCATGATCCGAGTAACAATGCTTCACATTTTATACCGGTACGGATTTCGCAGCTTCCCGGGCTCACAAACGCCCTTATATGGGGACGGTTCTTCATGCACCGGGCCCGATTGAAGGAAAAAAGAGCTGGAATCTCGTCCCAAGGTATCTAGGATTGTAGCAAACACGATCGTGCTGGGCGGTCCATGATCCGAGTAACATTGCTTCACATTTTGTACCGGTACGGATTTCGCAGCTTCCCGGGCTCACAAACGCCCTTATATGGGGACGGTTCTTCATGCGGCGGGCCCGTTTGAAGGCAAAAAGAGCTGGAATCTCGTCCCAAGGTATCTAGGATTGTGGCAAACACGATCGTGCTGGGCGGTCCATGATCCGAGTAACATTGCTTCACATTTTATACCGGTACGGATTTCACAGCTTCCCGGGCTCACAAACGCCCTTATATGGGGACGGTTCTTCATGCGGCGGGCCCGTTTGAAGGAAAAAAGAGCTGGAATCTCGTCCCAAGGTATCTAGGATTGTGGCAAACACGATCGTGCTGGGCGGTCTATGATCCGAGTAACATTGCTTCACATTTTATACCGGTACGGATTTTGCATCTTCCCGGGCTCACAAACGCCCTTATATGGGGACAGTTCTTCATGCGGCGGGCCCGTTTGAAGGAAAAAAGAGCTGGAATCTTGTCCCAAGGTATCTAGGATTGTGGCAAACACAATCGTGCTGGGTGGTCCATGATCCGAGTAACATTGCTTCACATTTTGTACCGGTACGGATTTCACAGCCTCCCGGGCTCACAAACGCCCTTATATGGGGACGGTTCTTCATGCGGCGGGCCCGTTTGAAGGCAAAAAGAGCTGGAATCTCGTCCCAAGGTATCTAGGATTGTGGCAAACACGATCGTGCTGGGCGGTCCATGATCCGAGTAACATTGCTTCACATTTTATACCGGTACGGATTTCACAGCTTCCCGGGCTCACAAACGCCCTTATATGGGGACGGTTCTTCATGCGGCGGGCCCGTTTGAAGGAAAAAAGAGCTGGAATCTCGTCCCAAGGTATCTAGGATTGTGGCAAACACGATCGTGCTGGGCGGTCCATGATCCGAGTAACATTGCTTCACATTTTATACCGGTACGGATTTCACAGCTTCCCGGGCTCACAAACGCCCTTATATGGGGACGGTTCTTCATGCGGCGGGCCCGTTTGAAGGCAAAAAGAGCTGGAATCTCGTCCCAAGGTATCTAGGATTGTGGCAAACACGATCGTGCTGGGCGGTCCATGATCCGAGTAACATTGCTTCACATTTTATACCGGTACGGATTTCACAGCTTCCCGGGCTCACAAACGCCCTTATATGGGGACGGTTCTTCATGCGGCGGGCCCGTTTGAAGGAAAAAAGAGCTGGAATCTCGTCCCAAGGTATCTAGGATTGTAGCAAACACGATCGTGCTGGGCGGTCCATGATCTGAGTAACATTGCTTCACATTTTGTACCGGTACGGATTTCGCAGCTTCCCGGGCTCACAAACGCCCTTATATGGGGACGGTTCTTCATGCGGCGGGCCCGTTTGAAGGCAAAAAGAGCTGGAATCTCGTCCCAAGGTATCTAGGATTGTGGCAAACACGATCGTGCTGGGCGGTCCATGATCCGAGTAACATTGCTTCACATTTTATACCGGTACGGATTTCACAGCTTCCCGGGCTCACAAACGCCCTTATATGGGGACGGTTCTTCATGCGGCGGGCCCGTTTGAAGGAAAAAAGAGCTGGAATCTCGTCCCAAGGTATCTAGGATTGTGGCAAACACGATCGTGCTGGGCGGTCTATGATCCGAGTAACATTGCTTCACATTTTATACCGGTACGGATTTTGCATCTTCCCGGGCTCACAAACGCCCTTATATGGGGACAGTTCTTCATGCGGCGGGCCCGTTTGAAGGAAAAAAGAGCTGGAATCTTGTCCCAAGGTATCTAGGATTGTGGCAAACACAATCGTGCTGGGTGGTCCATGATCCGAGTAACATTGCTTCACATTTTGTACCGGTACGGATTTCACAGCCTCCCGGGCTCACAAACGCCCTTATATGGGGATGGTTCTTCATGCGGCGGGCCCGTTTGAAGGCAAAAAGAGCTGGAATCTCGTCCCAAGGTATCTAGGATTGTGGCAAACACGATCGTGCTGGGCGGTCCATGATCCGAGTAACATTGCTTCACATTTTATACCGGTACGGATTTCACAGCTTCCCGGGCTCACAAACGCCCTTATATGGGGACGGTTCTTCATGCGGCGGGCCCGTTTGAAGGAAAAAAGAGCTGGAATCTCGTCCCAAGGTATCTAGGATTGTGGCAAACACGATCGTGCTGGGCGGTCCATGATCCGAGTAACATTGCTTTACATTTTATACCGGTACGGATTTCACAGCTTCCCGGGCTCACAAACGCCCTTATATGGGGACGGTTCTTCATGCGGCGGGCCCGTTTGAAGGAAAAAAGAGCTGGAATCTCGTCCCAAGGTATCTAGGATTGTGGCAAACACGATCGTGCTGGGCGGTCCATGATCCGAGTAACATTGCTTCACATTTTGTACCGGTACGGATTTCGCACCTTCCCGGGCTCACAAACGCCCTTATATGGGGACGGTTCTTCATGCGGCGGGCCCGTTTGAAGGCAAAAAGAGCTGGAATCTCGTCCCAAGGTATCTAGGATTGTGGCAAACACGATCGTGCTGGGCGGTCCATGATCCGAGTAACATTGCTTCACATTTTATACCGGTACGGATTTCACAGCTTCCCGGGCTCACAAACGCCCTTATATGGGGACGGTTCTTCATGCGGCGGGCCCGTTTGAAGGAAAAAAGAGCTGGAATCTCGTCCCAAGGTATCTAGGATTGTGGCAAACACGATCGTGCTGGGCGGTCTATGATCCGAGTAACATTGCTTCACATTTTATACCGGTACGGATTTTGCATCTTCCCGGGCTCACAAACGCCCTTATATGGGGACAGTTCTTCATGCGGCGGGCCCGTTTGAAGGAAAAAAGAGCTGGAATCTTGTCCCAAGGTATCTAGGATTGTGGCAAACACAATCGTGCTGGGTGGTCCATGATCCGAGTAACATTGCTTCACATTTTGTACCGGTACGGATTTCACAGCCTCCCGGGCTCACAAACGCCCTTATATGGGGACGGTTCTTCATGCGGCGGGCCCGTTTGAAGGCAAAAAGAGCTGGAATCTCGTCCCAAGGTATCTAGGATTGTGGCAAACACGATCGTGCTGGGCGGTCCATGATCCGAGTAACATTGCTTCACATTTTATACCGGTACGGATTTCACAGCTTCCCGGGCTCACAAACGCCCTTATATGGGGACGGTTCTTCATGCGGCGGGCCCGTTTGAAGGAAAAAAGAGCTGGAATCTCGTCCCAAGGTATCTAGGATTGTGGCAAACACGATCGTGCTGGGCGGTCCATGATCCGAGTAACATTGCTTCACATTTTATACCGGTACGGATTTCACAGCTTCCCGGGCTCACAAACGCCCTTATATGGGGACGGTTCTTCATGCGGCGGGCCCGTTTGAAGGCAAAAAGAGCTGGAATCTCGTCCCAAGGTATCTAGGATTGTGGCAAACACGATCGTGCTGGGCGGTCCATGATCCGAGTAACATTGCTTCACATTTTATACCGGTACGGATTTCACAGCTTCCCGGGCTCACAAACGCCCTTATATGGGGACGGTTCTTCATGCGGCGGGCCCGTTTGAAGGAAAAAAGAGCTGGAATCTCGTCCCAAGGTATCTAGGATTGTAGCAAACACGATCGTGCTGGGCGGTCCATGATCTGAGTAACATTGCTTCACATTTTGTACCGGTACGGATTTCGCAGCTTCCCGGGCTCACAAACGCCCTTATATGGGGACGGTTCTTCATGCGGCGGGCCCGTTTGAAGGCAAAAAGAGCTGGAATCTCGTCCCAAGGTATCTAGGATTGTGGCAAACACGATCGTGCTGGGCGGTCCATGATCCGAGTAACATTGCTTCACATTTTATACCGGTACGGATTTCACAGCTTCCCGGGCTCACAAACGCCCTTATATGGGGACGGTTCTTCATGCGGCGGGCCCGTTTGAAGGAAAAAAGAGCTGGAATCTCGTCCCAAGGTATCTAGGATTGTGGCAAACACGATCGTGCTGGGCGGTCTATGATCCGAGTAACATTGCTTCACATTTTATACCGGTACGGATTTTGCATCTTCCCGGGCTCACAAACGCCCTTATATGGGGACAGTTCTTCATGCGGCGGGCCCGTTTGAAGGAAAAAAGAGCTGGAATCTTGTCCCAAGGTATCTAGGATTGTGGCAAACACAATCGTGCTGGGTGGTCCATGATCCGAGTAACATTGCTTCACATTTTGTACCGGTACGGATTTCACAGCCTCCCGGGCTCACAAACGCCCTTATATGGGGATGGTTCTTCATGCGGCGGGCCCGTTTGAAGGCAAAAAGAGCTGGAATCTCGTCCCAAGGTATCTAGGATTGTGGCAAACACGATCGTGCTGGGCGGTCCATGATCCGAGTAACATTGCTTCACATTTTATACCGGTACGGATTTCACAGCTTCCCGGGCTCACAAACGCCCTTATATGGGGACGGTTCTTCATGCGGCGGGCCCGTTTGAAGGAAAAAAGAGCTGGAATCTCGTCCCAAGGTATCTAGGATTGTGGCAAACACGATCGTGCTGGGCGGTCCATGATCCGAGTAACATTGCTTTACATTTTATACCGGTACGGATTTCACAGCTTCCCGGGCTCACAAACGCCCTTATATGGGGACGGTTCTTCATGCGGCGGGCCCGTTTGAAGGAAAAAAGAGCTGGAATCTCGTCCCAAGGTATCTAGGATTGTGGCAAACACGATCGTGCTGGGCGGTCCATGATCCGAGTAACATTGCTTCACATTTTGTACCGGTACGGATTTCGCACCTTCCCGGGCTCACAAACGCCCTTATATGGGGACGGTTCTTCATGCGGCGGGCCCGTTTGAAGGCAAAAAGAGCTGGAATCTCGTCCCAAGGTATCTAGGATTGTGGCAAACACGATCGTGCTGGGCGGTCCATGATCCGAGTAACA